GAACAGCATGTGACCTGAAGCTGGTCTCTAATTGGTTTCTTAAAGATTCTCCTCGGGGCGCAAGTCGTTGCGTCCCTGGCCAATCAGAATTGGATACATGTTATTTTATCCAATCTGATTGGTTCTCGTCACCTGTCATTCAAATTTACGCTCTGGGCCACTACTGCGAGTGCGCAGGCGACACCACTTTGACACTTGCTAGGCTGATCAAACTTTTTGTGTAAACAATGGCAGCAGTTCATCCAAATTCTGTAATTTATTTACAAAAAAACCCTTTCACAAGGCTTTCGCTGGAAGAAATAAAAAAGATAAAGGATCGCGGACCGGACCAACCCGATTTACAAATCCAGCAGCAGGCCAGTGACAGAGGACGAAGCTACACACGAAGCTTCACCCGCGCTTGTTATGAGAAACGGAGGTGGCTGGCTGGATGTGATGTTAGCAATTCTCTTTTTTGTTTTCCCTGTCTTTTATTTCAAAGTGTCGGCACTGAAGTTTTGTGGACAACGACGGGGGTAAGAGACCTCAAACATCTCTCTGACAAATGCAAACGTCATGAAAGTAGCCGCAGCCATATTGATAATAGCATGAAACTAACGTTTTTATGTTCAAGTAGGAAACATGCTTTTTGGTACTTTGGTTTGAAATGTATATAAAAGAGAAACATTTATGTTCAAGTAGGAAACATGCTTTTTGGTACTTCTTTTGGTCTGAAATGTAAATAAAGATCATCAAAATTTATATTCAAGTAGTCAAAATGGTTTTTGGTACTGCTTTATATTTATTTGCCCCCCTCAATAAAATAAAAAAAATGCGCCCCCCCAAAAATAAATATCACCAGCCGCCACTGATCTACGGCCTATAGTGGTAGCATCTAGCGACTGTATAGTTGTAATAAGTGCACGCATCGGGGTGGGGGAGGGGCATTACAGAGCGAAGAATTTACCTGAGCGTTTAGTGTATTTTTATAGCATTTTTAACGCGAAAGAAAATGTCCCCCTCACTCCCACCGAAGGCGTGCGATTTGGCATGGCCTGTTCCCCCCGCCAAAGGCGCGTGAGTTGGTATGGTCGTGCACGCGTCATTAATAAAAAACAATGAAAGGGAAGCGCACAAAAATTGCACTAAATCGCTAATTAAACTAATTTAAAGTTGACGAAAGTGAAAAAGGAATAGCGCTTGCTCACCGCGGGGCGTACGGCATGGTACCTGGAGAGCCAAGCGCCTGACCACACACAAACCCACACACAAACCCAGCCACAAACCCACACGCAACTTTTTTACTTTATATATATAGATTGACAAAGTTCTTCCAGGACCGTTCTCTTGCACAAAGTGGTGCACTGTTCATTTTACAAGTTTCAACGTCAAATATTACGGGTCAGTCACATGACGTGAACAGCATATCGAAGTATAATTATTATAATTGCTTAATGGGGATCGGGAGTGTAGCGGTTATCCGATTCCGAGGCCAACACCAGTGACAATTATCAAAACCAGTCGTCTGCCTCCCCTAGGTCGACTTAGACTCAAATGACTGACTTTGGTCTGGAACTAAACCAGCTGAAGAGCATTGCAGGGATGAGTTGGCCCTTTCCATTGTGTATTATATACTTAGAGGTGTGTGCATATATCCTGGCCAAAGCATTGTGTCGATTGTAAGCGTTTTACGAAACTTCACTATGCTGAAGTGGCGATGATGATCACTCGCTACTGATGTTCGCCGTGGCTGACGATCAAATCCATGTTTATAGCGTAGTCCGCTAATCACTGGGGTCACCACTCCTCGCGTTCTCTCTAACGTAAACAATAAAAAACAACCTTCTACATATGTTCATAATTCCACGTATGTATGTTGAACTTCGTTCGCACCGTACGTAGTCAACTACTGCGAAGGTTACTTTATTATTAATCATCATGAGGAGGGGGAAAGACGAGAGAAGGCTGAGAGCCCCGCGCAGCTCACAGTCCCAGGGGTTGTTGAACAACCAGATATGAGTGAGGCTCTTGAGGTTGTCAAAGGCGCCCCTGGGAATGCTCTTCAGCTGCTCCGCGTTGATGCGCGATTGCTTTGCACTACGTTCTGTTAACATCGCAATGCAAGTCACGCGTGCACCGCTTCACGTGTGATGGCATCTGCGCTCACTGAGCAGAGCTTGAAATCAAACAGGTGAGGAGTAGACACGACCAACATCAGGGCGGCTTGAGATCGGTCAAATCAGTCATGGTTCATGGTAGTGATGATGTAGACAAGGAGTTTCACGGAATCATTCTCGATTAAAACACATTCCTACTCCCTCTCACACACGCGTTGTCTCCCCAATGCTGATGCTTACTCACTTTGCCAGGTACTCACTTAAGGCTAAGTCGATCGAGGGAGGCCCATACCGGGTTCAGATATTTAAGACTGATGCTAACCATAGTCATGTCTGCCTTGCGGTCGCCAACTGAAATGAACACCCCTCTGCGCTCGCTTGAACGTCACTACAAATGCGAGTGCAGACACCACATGCCCCGCGTGAAGACAATGCATCCCCCGTGCCCTATTTCATTACCTGCCTCAAAGTATTCACACAGAGACCCGCATCAGCAGTGCCGCAGGGAGTGCAGCGAGCGCAGAGGAGCGAATGGCCGTGACCGTTACAAGACTCTCGCACAAAGTCAACAAGAAGCGCAGCGGCAGATTCACGCAGATATCCTGCAGAGGCGCGGGTGGGCAGATATCGGCTCTGCCCGCAGGGGTGTTTGACGGTCTCAAGCACCTGGCGAACTCACACCTGCAATACAACCAGCTGTCGGCTCTCCCTGAAGGGGTGTTTGATAAACTCACACAGCTCACTGTTCTGAATTTGCGTCACAACCAACTGAAATATGTTCCTGTGGGCGCGTTTGAGTGGCTGGTGAGTCTACTGGAGCTGTGTGGGGGCCGACGTCCACCTCCCCGCTCCCCGCGAGCGGGACGCGACGTCCACCCCCTCCACTCCCCCTCCTCCTCTTAGGCCGCCTCTCGCTGGGCCCACGTCGATTGGGTGATCGGCCCTCCTGTGCCAGCGCCCTCTCTGAGGGACATATCTGAACGGCTGCTTCACCACCGGCCGGGGTTATCTCCCCCACGCACACGTACCCTACCACACAAAAACCGAAAATGGAGGCGTGCACGCGTGCGCCCCTGCAGGCGCGTATTTCCATCACAAAGGCTGGCGCTAATAAAAATGGCAGTATGAATATGCGCGTGCACCTCCGGGAGTTAAACCCTAATCTGCTTGCACCCAAAGGCTAATGCTAAAGGACTGTATGAATATGCACGCGCCCCCCCCCCCCCCTCCCCGAGTGATTAAGACTTAATCCGCCGTGTAAACAAATGCTAAAGGAAAAGGAGCGGCGGCGGTAGGACTATGGGTGCACGCCTCACCGTTAATTCTATTTTTACTGTGTAAATGCGCTGCGTAAAGCGCGCTTTGTAAAAACGCACGGCTAACGAAAACACGCGCAAACGACGGCGGCCATATATGCTGCAGTACACGCGCCTCACGCGCACGCTCAAATCACTCACACCACCCCCATACTGCAGCCCTGCGCTCGCTCTCACGCCAGGCACACTGTATTAATGGCGCCAATACACATTACTCGGAGGAGGAATATTTCGCGAGGAGAGCCTAGCGTAACTCTCCCTATGAACACAGTCACTAAAGCGCTCTACAACGTACCTCGTAGCTGTAATACCGGCGTCGCACGGACGCTGTGAGAGTCGGAGGGAGAGGGACGAGCGAAAACCTCACCAATCACTGCCTCGTAGCAGCACTCGCTGGCATCACACGGATGCTGTGAGCGGCTCGAGGAGGCAGGACGGCAGGGAGTCGGTCCCTTGCTCAGGGTTCCTTGCTCAGGTTGCCTTGCTCAGGGTGCCTAATATTCCACCCTCCGTCCTCCCCCCAATGTTGTTTGTAACTCATTGCGGTTGGCCAAGGGAACCTTTTCTTTTTGCGCCCATACAATATTAAGCCAATTTAAGGGCACCGCAATGTAACCTGTCCTGTGAGGGTCGGCCAATCTCCTGGCAACGGGAAACCGTGGGACTCTCCCCCTAGGGGCCCTTCAGATTAAAACCCGATGTGCCAGGCCACCCACTGCCAGGACACTACGTGGGTGCGCTGTGTGCGGGTGTGTGTTTAGTGCGGGGGGTGCGAGGGAGTCGCGGCGCTTGCGGAGTTGCTCGGCGGTCGTGGCACCACAGCTGTATCGGTACAACAACCACCCTCTCCTCTCACAGCTCCTGATCGACTCGCTAAGTTCTAGAGGCTCTCTGTGTGTCTGCTACGTTAATCAACGCACCACGCCTCGTGCAATTCGGTTATTACCAATTAGCGGGTACTGTGCAATATATAAAGAACAATAAAAAACAACCATATGCACGCTTATTCTTGATTATTGTAATTCGAGAGCTTAGTTTTCCTGTCACATATATAAATACTGATTAATTGGCTGAAAAATCTTAATATGCATAGAACTGTGCAAAAGTGTCTATTTGATATGTAAACATCTGGTGTTGTTGATTTGTCAGTGAGCAGTGCACAACCTCTGCTACAAGCGATGAGAATGGCACAAGCCGACCCCAGCCACCTACCTGCACAACAACTCCTGGGACTGCGCCCGTTTACGTGGCCTGTGTCTCAGCCGGTGGCTGGAGCCGAACTCGAGAACGCGTACAGCGCTGTCGGCGTTCAATGCCCTGGGTCAGTTGCAAATCTCTCCAGCGAGTAATAACAGGTTAATGCGCAAGGGAGACCTGGGGTAAAAGCAAATAATGCATAACGCAAGCTGAAAAGTGATTGACAAAATCTCGAAACCAACTAAAGGCACGAAAATAAGATTAAGTATACAATTATTAGAGCAAACTGTGTGTGTGTAATATGTCCAATGCAATGGGCATTTGTAAACGTGACCTTTAATTTTCAGCTAATTGCAAATTCAATCTGGCTTCAGCTCCTCCATCAGTCGCGATGGGGAACGCTCCTGAGCTGGTTGGTGCTCAGAACTATGTGAGTGAGCTGTGTGAGTTTGTCAAACACCCCAGCGGGGAGAGAGGTCAGCTGGTTGTTGTTCAACCACAGCTGCTGCAGATTCACCAGGCGGTCAAACACCCCCTCGGGAAGAGCCTGCAGCTGGTTGCCAGCTGGATCAGAACGTGAATAATCGGAGAGGGTACTCATGGCTTATGATTATGCTAGATATCTCTTATTTAAAGTGATATCGGTTCATTATCATGACATTAGTTACGCACAGTGACATGCGTTAAAGCTCATTAAGATGTATTACAGCTCAAAGCGATCGGATAGCTATTCACATCACAGTAAAAAACGATTGAAAACCGCCTTCAATCGCTTTCATAGACAAGTATATCGTTAAAGCAAATCCATTCGCTTTAATATGCCTGAAATAAACATAACTTCTTCCACTGCCATCTGTTAGTTAACACGAACTCAATTCTATTCACTTTCTTAAATAAATTAACATAAAGCTAGGCACATTCACATTTATTAAGAACTGCTAGTTTAAGTGACCTTGATTCAGAATCATCTATAAATATTTTGTTAAAGCGACCTCTATTCGTCCTTGACGCTGTCAAACAGCCCAGAGAATACAGCTGTCAGCTGGTTGCCGTACAAATGCAGCTCCTCCAGATTCACCAGGCGGTCAAACACCTCCTGCTTGAAGGTTTTGTTAAGTGACCCGGGAAATTAACTTAACGTAACAACGTTCGATAGGGAGTGTCATTGTGTGATGTTTGTGTGCTGTTCTCCGCTTGCAACTTCATGCAGCGATTATGATAATGTTCATGAGGATGATGATGAGTGGTGGAATGATGATTGGTGATTAACAATATTGATTGTGTTTATGTATGATGCTGCTCCTATTTACGATGATGTTGCTGCTGTTGATTGTGCTGATGAGAGGCATTTCTCCATTGGGTCGCGCTCGAACTCAGTGTCCTCACGTTGGCGAGTGGAAGGGAAAATCCTTGAGCGTGGCTGCTGATTGTCCAGCTATCTAAGCTAAACTCTCTCGCCGTGACCACAGTGATCACCAGATCAACAATCGCTGTGTAGGGCGCGCACGAGGCAGTGCTGCTGATCGAGGCAGCGTGCGGGGTTCTGCTGCTGAATTAGAAACCGGACTCCTTGTTTTTGTCCAAGCAGCACAAAGATAATTACAGCATCAGACGTTCAGCACGCTGACTCCGCCATCTTTCAACCACATTTGTTATTTCTGCTCTGTGTCCATTGACTCTGCAGCCAAAGCAGAGGAAGCGCCGCGTAGATGGAGCGAAGAGAGCAGCTCGTGTGCAGCAGCGAGATGGACTTTGGCAACGCAGGGCCAGCAGTGAAGCTGGCGTAGGGAAGCCTCAATTCAGCATTGAGGATAATGATAATAACGCACAAAAATACACACACAGTGTAATTATATTTGGTAGGATATTCCAGGACTGAATTCCACAAATTCATGGGGGCGCGGAGAGGGCACACAGACAAAACAGACACAAATAACATAAACCTATCCTTAGAAAAATTGTCCAAACATGTCAGGACAGGGCCCTTTTTTTAAATGAGTCTTGAATCATCTCCCCACGGTATTTGTTCGAACTCCCGTTACAGCTATTGGCTGTACGAGCGGGGAAGCAGAGTAGAGCACAGATCTCACTTACAGCATAAACAATGATACCGTCGAGCGAACGTGGTTACGTTAAGTGAGTTATCGCATCATCTAAGGCATCTTTAACCAAGGGGTGATTAACCACCTGGTGAATCTGAAAGATTTGCGTTTGTGCAGCAACCAGCTGACAGCTCTACCTGCTTGGCTGTTTGACAGCCTGGCCCAGCTGACGATTCTGGCTTTTGAGAGAAACCAGCTGCAGACTTTGAGCAAGTGTTTGACAAACTGACGCAACGGATCGGTTTTATTCTGCACAGCAAGCAGCTGAAGCCCATCTTCACGCGAGCCTCTCACTGGGTTCACTGGGACCCGCGCAGTCACACAGAGACCTCGTGTTCCTTCTCGAACACGTGAGCAAGGAACTCATTAAAGAGCACTGAGCAAAACGTCGCAAGGTTCGCATCAGCAGGAATGTGCTTTTGAATTTGGAGATTATGAACCAAGGCCGATCCTCTCGGAGTGTTTTTCATTGAAAATATGAATATGATGGCCGAAATATTTGACGATGATGAAGCTGATGATGACGACGATGATGAGAGACATTCCTCTACACAGTCGCATTCTAGATCAGTGTGAGTGCGAGGAAACCATATCTTGGGGTTTCTGTCAGACTGGACTCCAGTCCTCAAAGATGGATGGCGAATGCATAAGTCATTGCTGTCAGTAGCACTTAGTGTATATAATGGTATGAGAATACTCCCATCATAACATCAATGAAATTGCTGCACGTAGCACGTGTTTGATGATTGCGAAACAAGTTGCACACAGGTTCTGCAGTGAGCCAATTAAAATTAAGATTGCAATCTCAGTTTGTATGTACACGTGCTCCACATGTGTGTTTGTGTGCGTGTACAGGTGTAGTGTGGTTAAAATACGTGGCGCACACTGTTGGCCAAGGGCAACTGAGGATAAACACGTGCGCGTGTGCAACATAACGTTGCACGGGCAACCCGCCACCTAATTAGGGGGAGAAGCAGGTGCAGACCGGGTCGGCCCGGGGTTACACGCTGGCACCGGAGGTGTTGCCAGGGAGGCGTGCCATAAGGGATGATTGATGGCCTGACAGGCGCCAGTCTGTCTGGCCCTAAAGAGACACAAGTGAGGAGCTGGACAATTGGGAGGGGGATATAAAGACGGGTGTGAGAGCGGAGCAGAGGTATGTGTTACGGGGAGCAAGAGAGAGAATATGTCTCGCCGCTGCCGCTTCAGCCGGAAACGGATCTCAACCCTCACGAGTCGCCGGGTGGATGATGGTTGATCCCCCTCCCCGGGTCGGACGAGTGAGTGGGTCTGAGGGAATGTCCGCTGTGTGAGCGCTGCTGGGTGCAATTCTGTGTGAGCGTTGCTGGGTGCAAGCCTCTGTGTGAGCGCTGCTGTGTGCAATTCTGTGTGAGCGTTGATGGGTGCAAGCCTCTGTGTGAGCGCTGCTGTGTGCAATTCTGTGTGAGCGTTGCTGTGTGCAATTCTGTTTGAGCGTTGCTGGGTGCAAGCCTCTATGTGAGTGCTGCTGTGTGCAAAGCCTTGAGTGCGGAGCTGCCGAGAGCAAGAGCTGCTGTGTGCAGATTAGCGAGGTGTAGCGCAGATAATAGTGGGAATTGTTTAACAGAAGTGACCATAGCGACAGTGATAGGAGTGCCTACAACTAGTGCAAGAATAGGCTAATAAAGTGTAAGCAGGTGACCTGTTAGTTACAACGTGTCAGTCTGAGTGATTTTGCAAGACACTACCTTTGGTGTTAGAAGTGACAACGAACCTTCGCGGTCATGTCCAAGTTGGCGTTGAAACGAAGAAACCCACCTGCTGCATCGTCGGACGATGAGGCCGAGCAAGACGTCGTCCCTCCAACAGCTCCGGTTGCTGGGGCTCCGAGCACCCGCTCCGAAGATGTGCTGCAGTCGGCGCAAGAGACAATGGCGAGTTCAACCTTGCCGCCTCCCCCGCAGAGCTGGGTAGGCTGTTGACGGCCGCCGCTCATCTGTTCGAGCGGATGACGGCTGCATCGACCACCGGACAGTTCAGTTTTTAAAGCTACTGCGTTATTGACATCCACAGTCATCGTCACCATCGTCATGTTGTCTTATTGTGCTACAAGTTTGTCTGCAGTGTCACGGAGTAGTGAGCAGAGCGTCTAACTACGTACGTTTGTGAATATTAAATGAGTGAATCGTGTGAATAATTAGAGCCAATTTTGAGCGTTTTCAGATACCTACGTGTGATGCATGGGTTTGATTCATTTTTTAATCATGAAAAAAGTGACGTGGATTGTTTATTTGAACCTTATGGCGGTACCCCGGGGTACCATATTACCCCGGCTCTCGCATAATGTCCGTGATGCAGTCATTTTTAGTCTGTTGATGGTAGACGATGCGGCAATCGACTCATCTCGACGAGCTGTACACGATGCACTATTCAAAAAAAATATTTCGATAACGGATTTTTTATGCTAATGTTTGGTGTTTCGACATCGAAGAGTAGCACTGATTTCGGATTGTGGAGTTAAGTACACCCCTGGAAAATATAGTGTCCCAGAAATAAAATATATTTAATTGCCTCGGCCATTTAGTATTATTTGGTACCCCGGGGCACCGTTATAAGTGTAGTAAGTATGTAGGAGGCTTGACGACAGGATCGGAGGCACACTTGTTTATTACACCAACACAGTAATTACGGGTCACTTGGCTACAGGGATGCACAACAGCTAACCCCGCTAACCTATGCCAATCCCTCCACTACGGGGCTAGGGGAGGCTATCTGTCCCAGCCTGGTTAAGCTGGGATCCCGGCACCCTGAGTCTCCAGACCAGCTTAGTCTGGGCTCTCGGGGCCACGCCACCGGCTTGCCCTGATCGGCCCTTATAAGGACAGCGAGCCAGGGGAGCTCTGGGGCCTATTCTAGCAGGTCTTCCTTCTTCTCTGGTTAAAGCTGAGCCCCGACCTCGAGCCCTCGAGCTCATCACCTTTTATAGGACTCGCCCCCGAGAGGGGGCCCGTGGGGGATGCACATGCGGACGTCGGTGCGAGCGCCACCCTTGTGTACGGCCGTAACCCCGCCCCTTGTGTTTGTTGGCCATCCGTGGCCATGCATAATTACACCTCAACATCCGTAGCCATGCGCGATTACACCTCTACATCACCCCCCCCTGTACAGCTCGCAGCCGTCCCCGGCTGCAAAAAAATCAGAATAAAGGTGCATCCCTCACGAAAACCGTGTGTGTGTGCCTCGCGTAATTATTAACAAGAACAAAGAGAACCTTAACAAGAACAACAACAGGAAGAGAGAGAGAGAGAGAGAAAAAAAATAACCCGACGCACCCCCCCGAATAAACACCCCAA